TCAACAATCAAATAGCCATGGGTGCCAGTATCTATCCCATTTCTTCTTATAGAAGTTCTCAATATGACATTAGCTTGCTCATTTGGAAGGTGAGTTTCTTCAAAGTTTGATAATTTGGATTTGGTTTTGAACTGAAAACAGGGGGAAAAAAACCCCACTTGCCCACTTGAATTATCTTCAAAATCTGAACTGGGTTTTGATAAGAACAGGAAAAATAGAAAGAAAAAGAAGAAAACTCACTTACCCACTTACATTTTCCTCAAAATTTGAAGTGGGTTTGATCAAAATAAGTGAAAATTAAGACTCCAAATTTTGAGTTGGGTCTTGAAGTTTCTTCAAATTCTGAACTGGGTTTCGATCAAAACCCACCCACCCGCTTGAATATTCTTCAAAATCAGAACATCCCAGAAAAAGAAAACCCAAAAACTTTTAGCAAGTTTTCAAAAGCAGAGAATCTCTGACAGATCTGTTCAACTTTTACCCTCCATCCATTAAAATTTTCTGAGCCCTTTTATTTTTTGGTAATGAGAAAATAAGAAATGTTTTGGTAAAATTGGTATGGTAGGACCCGAAAGAAGGGAACTGGTGGATGCAATTCGGAAACAGCCACGTGTTGGGATATTGGCCGGCGTTCTTGTTCTCTTATCTGACCGACAGCGCCTCCATGATCGAATGGGGCGGAGAAGTCGTCAACTCCGAATCCGACGGCCAGCACACCTCCACGCAGATGGGCAGCGGCCACTTCCCGGAGGAAGGCTTCGGCAAGGCCGGCTACTTCCGCAACATTCAGGTTCTCCTAATTGTGATTTAAAATTTTGAAAACGTCTTTAGAAAAAAATATAGTAAAAGAGATAAATATATGAGTCAAAATAATATTAAAAGTAAAAAAATAAAAAAATAAAAACAAAAAACAAAATGGTAAGTTTTTTGATATTTCAAGCGAGCTAAATGATTAAGTGTTTTTGGCTTAAAATGAAGAACCCATGTTTGCCTACTCAATTTAAAAGTTTGAAATTTTAACTTAGTCACACTTTTACTCTAACAAAGGAGATTGAACTTTTGACTTCGAAAGAAGGCTTACATTTTGATTATGTTGAATTATGTTCATGTTGACAAAATTTAGTTTATACTCGAAATATATTAGATTTTCTAAACTAGTTTTTTTTTTTTTCGTAAGATGCGTACGTGCCTAAAATATATATCTTTTAAGATTGTGTCTAATAAAATTATAAATTTTAAAAATGTAGGATTAATATACATTTTCAATTTTATGGCTACTAGGTAGATTGTTGAATTATAAAAATTTCAAATAAATATTTAAACTTTTAATTTTGTATCTAATATTTTTTAAACTTTGAAAAGTGCGCAAGAAATACAAAATTAGACAAAATATTGAAAGCCTAAGAATCTATTATACAATTTTAAAAAAAAAAGAAAATTGAAGAACTATTGGGCATAATATTGAAATTTAAAGATCTATTAAAACACAATTTTCTAAGATTTATGGACTAAACATACAAAGCTCTTGTCAAAAGAAAAAAGAAAAACATGTTTCGTAGTATTTTTGTTCTTGTTTCTAATTTTATTAAAAAACCTTTAACAATTATTTATGTTCTTCCAACGCAAGTTTTTTACAAAACATAAATAAAAAATATTATTTTATTATTTTTGAATTTATTATCATTGGAGTTAACGTTATCAAACGGGTTCATAATGTTTGAATATAGGTGGTGGACGGATCGAACAACCTCCAGGCACCGGAGGATATCGGAACGTTCACAGAGCAACCCAGCTGCTACGACGTTCAGAATGGCAAGTCCGGCGAGTGGGGCAATTACTTCTTCTACGGCGGCCCGGGCAGAAACCCCAACTGCCCGTGATTTTATTCTCTCTCTCTCTATATATTTTTATATATGCATTTCTTGTGCATTATTATAATTTTAGTGGGTAATCTATTGAGATGTTTAACTGGTGATTCAAGTTCTCTCTCTCTCTCTACATCAAATGTGGAAGACAGAGAGAGGTTGATTTGTTTTGTTTCAAAATCTTAGAAGAAGAAAAAAACCAACAAAAACAAAGAGGCTGATGATTTGTTATCTCTTTGGAAATGTGTATAAGGTGTGTTTTCCTTCTTTAGCTTATTTGATTGTTTACGTATTAAATCTTCTATAGACGAGTAAATTTATTCTAATCTATTCAACTTAAGCAAATTTAATTTATCAAGTTAAGTTTTTGAATTCAATGGTGGTTTAATCACGTTTTAACATGATTATGAGGTCTTATGTTTGAATTCCTGTATGAATTGTTTGATCATGTTTAACGATTTGTGTTTATGTTTTTCGGACTTTATTTCCGATTTATAGCACCAAAATTATCTCTTGGTTTCTCTTAAAAATCCATATTGCATTACATAGTAGATAATTTTAATTTCCATCTAATTTTAGAAAGGTTGCTATATTAAAGATCATAAATGTTACTGATTAAACTTAGTTTGAACTCAAATTGAATAATAAAAATCATCTTCCATATATACGACATATACTAATCTCTAACTCTCTATAAATCATATAAACTTATAAGCTAAACACGAAGTTACCCAAATCAAAATTCAATATATAATTTTGTACTATAAAAAAATCAATATAATTTTACTTTTTATGACTTAATTAATATTTCTTTGTAACCCAAACATAAAGTACGTAAAAGTAAAACTAATTAACTTCTTCAAACTAAGTGTAAACTCAAAACACTGATATAAACCAAAAGATTTAATTTATGTGGAAAACTCTGAACCGAAGATAAAACAAAGACCTATGTCTAAAGAAAATATATTAGGTGAAAAATATTACAACTACAAATAATTCTCTCCCTAATTTTGTACCACTCACAGAACTAGAATTGGTATACAAGGCTTTGTTTCTAATTTGGAAAATCCAAACCCGTGCACGAAGTATCACCTAGCTTAGTGTACCTTTATGATGTGAAATTTTTGCTCCTATAATATTTTGTCAAAAATCCAACATAATTAAACCATTAATTACCTACAATAATCAACAAACTCATATATATCAAATAGAATCTCGACTGTCAACCTGAATATATAGCTCAACTGATTTAATTATGCACATGTCTCCGTAGTCTTAAAAATATACTACAAAAATGTTGGCATTGACCAAATAATTTAAAGGTTTTATTGAGATCAAAGTAGTGATTTTTTTATTTTTATTTTTCAAATCCCATAATCAAAAAAGTGAGTGAGAAGAGTCCAAGACTCTCAAGCAGATGCATGTTGGGTCGTTGGATCCATGTGAACTGTTGTCGTGTTCGAAATCTGACAGATAATGTTTCAGTTTCAGCTCAAATATTCCCATCATCCATAAGAAATTAATTATTGAAAAGTTTAAGAAAAAGGGATAATATCTTTTTATTGTCTCTAAGAATTAAAGAACAAAAATAATAGCACATGATATTAAGGCATAAATTAGGAAGCTAGCCAATTAATTAAAAATCTCATGAGATTAGATTCCATTATTCCAGCTGGTAATTTTATTTAAATATGTAGTAATTTTCTCCAACTTTATTGCAGAATGTTGGAATTATTTATGGTCCCTTCTGATCAAATGCTGTCTCAGCAGGAATCAACCAATCCTGAAATTAAGAACACAACAAATCCATAGCCAAAGTTATATAAACATTAGTTTTCAAAAAAAGGTTTTTGCTTTTTAGGCTAAGTTTGATATTCAAGGATATGCTAATTACTCGTCATCATAAATTTTTGTGCTAACTGCTAATAAATATTTGACGGTTATGAATAACAGAAGAATTATCTATTTTTCTACATTTCCCTCCTTTCATAGATATGAAAAATTTAATGGTGGTCGATAAAAAGTGGGTATTGATTGGTTAGTATATGTATTGTTCTTAGTTGCTAATGATTTTATTTGTTGTTTTTAAATTATTGAGGTTACATTTTTAATTATAAAATTATGAGTTTAGACATAAAAATAGTGGTTAGGTTACAAGTTTTATTCCCTAAACTTTGAGGGGTTGGGTTTAAATAGTTCTTGTTGGACTTTTAATTTTCTGTTTAATAGATATCTTCACTTATTAGATATATTTTTTAAAATTTAAAAATTTATTAAATACAAAATTGAAAGATTAGGGACACAAAATTAGTGAATGAACTTCTAAATGTATCTAATAGATTAAATCCCCCGTAACCGAAAACTGTCGCTGTGTTTGAAAATCTGACAGATAATAATGTTTCAACTCAAATATTCCATCCATAAAAGAAAAAATTGAAAAGTTTAAGAAAAAGGGATAATATCTTCTTATGTATATAAAAAGAAAAAAAGTAGAAACTGCAGCACATGATATTAAGACACATAAAAAGAATCTAAAAATCCATGAGATTAGATTCCATTCCAAATGGTTTTATTTTATTACATAATATGTAGTAATTTCTCCAAGTTTATAGTAGAATTCTGGTGTTTTTCTTGTCCATTCTGTTCAAAATTCTGTCTCACAATCAACCAATCCTGAAAATTAAGAACACAAAACACCCATAGGCAAAGTTAACGTTAGTTTGTTGACAGAAAAATAAGGAAGAAAAATAGGCAACCTTTGCTCAAGAGAGTGTTCAAAGCTAGTTTTCCGTTTTTTTGGTTTGATAACTATTTTATTTTTAATTTTCTGTTTTTGAAAATTAAACTTGTAAACGCTATTTTCCCTCGTATATTTCTTTATTTTACTACTTAGAATTTGGTAGTTTTGAAAATTTTATTTCGGTTCTTAGAATTCGGTTAAAAATACAAATATATTTTTTAAAAAAGGTGAAAACATACTCAGAAAATTGTGAGCAAACAAACATAATTTTTCAGAAATAGAAAACTAAAACTAAACGGTTATCAAATGAGCTTTAAGATATTTTTCTATTATTTGTAAATTGAGGTTTTTGTTCTTTCTAGAATATTTATGGTTCGGAAGAGTTTCAATTATTCTATTTTGATTTTTAAATTTTCATACTTGGAACAGTCGACGCTAGCGGAGACCGTGAAAGGCAGGCTAATGCCACAATTGCTAGGAAGATCTTGTGCCAATTTAGCGTTGTAATTCAAACTACCAGCAGCTGATTTGATGCATTCGCATGCAGCCTTCTTGTCAGCAGTGGTTGTAGCTGCGGAGGCTAGAGCATTTGCACCGGTGCAACAAGCCGCTGGTGGCTTCCCGCTACCGCTCACGAGGTAGCTCACGCATGGCCTTAGGTCTGTGACAACATCGCTACACGAGATCGCAGCCTCCGAGTCTCGAAGAAGCAATATCACAAACACCATAGCTGCAAGCTTTAATGCCATGGCTGCTAGCTATGAGATGAGGGCTTTGTAGCTTGGAGATAAAAGTAGTTTTGTGTGAAATGATTCAAACTTTTTATAGTGATGTTTGGAAGAGAGTGCTCAAAAGTGCAAGAAAAGAAAATTGTGGTAGCTTATTAGACAAAGGATTTTAATTTTGATTTCTTAGTGCATTATATGATATGCTAATTCTTGTACTCCAAGTGGAAAGCTCAACAACCCTAGAATTGCAATTCTACAAGTACAACAAGAAATGAAGATGGTTGGATATTGGTTGTAAATTAGGTTATGTGCACTAGTATTGTGAGCCTAATACATCGATATAAGTTTAATTTGGATAGTTTAATGAGTGCATGCCGATGTAACAAGTGGTAAGTCGCATGATACTTTAAGTAGAGTCTATGACGGTGTACGAAATCTCTCTATTGTATCTAGCCAATCTCCTTCTATTTTGTTCGATTTTGTCATGTCAAATTAATTGCGCAATTTGTCCAATAAACATATATCACGTCAACATTTAGGTAACATAATTAATGACACAATAATTACATAGGATAACATACTAAATATGTACAAAATAGTTTAACCTTAGATAAATGTTGGTTGAATTGGTGTGTGTGACTTGATAGACAATGTCAATGTTCCAATAATATATATATATATATATATATATATATATATATATATATATTTAACAATAGAAATACTCAAAGGTTAATAATTCACCTATATCCTACCGTGGTTGAATTCAACGTTCAAAGTTTAGAGATTTAATATACTCAATCCTCCGAATAAAAATAACACTAAATGTATCACCTTTATTTTAATCCATATATCAATTAACAATTTGATGAATTTTAAAGGAACATATAAACAAGTTTGACATAAATAAAATGTATATTTTGACATTTTTAGTTTGTATTTATGGACCGATTGAGCATTTATTTTGTTGAGATTCTTAAGCATCGGCTGTGTGGGACGACATGAACAAAATTCACAAGTTTGATAAAACCCACGATTTGACGTTTCAACAAAGTCCTACAGCTGGCACTTGTCTGTCTTCTTTACATATCTTATCCCTTCCTTCAATAATTTTTTTTTTAAATGTACAAAATATTTCCTAATCTTTTAACAAGATCATAATTTTGTAGTTAACCCTTAAAACTTTTAATTTCATCTTTAATATATTAAAAGTTTTCAATTAGGTATATTTTTTTAAATTTCCCAACAAAAATTGTATCGTTAAATTATTATTTTATTAATATATTACTGTTTATACATAAAATTCAATTCTTCAATGGCATGCTTAGGTGGCATTTTTACCTAGTAAATAATAAATATGTTAATAAAATAATAATTTAATGACAAAACAAATTTATTAAAAAAATTTTCTTATGAAATGACTTATTGAGAATTTTAAATGGATTAATGATAAAAGTGAGAACTTTAAAGGATTAAGGATAAAATTAAAATAATCTTAAAAAAAATGATAAAAATAAAATTACCTAAAAGATTATCGACCATTCGGTGGATTTAGCCTTATATTCCTTTACCGAAAAAATTGTTTGCTTTTCTAATTATTTTTTTATTATTGTATGCTAATTTTATTTTATTTTTCTCCTTTTTTATTTGTTGTTGTTCCAAGACTTACTCCATGTTAACGGCCAGAACTAGGACCAATATGAATAGTCCATGCCTACATGGGCCTGTCGAAGATTCTATGGGTCCGTTATAGATTTTCAGCCCAATAAACAGGCCTATATAAGTGGGCTCCTCCACAAAGATATAAGGATTAAAAGCCCAAACTCAAGTGAATACCAGCGGGTGGCTCAATACTTTTGAAAAAATAAGGGGCCATTTTTTTCTTCCAAATATTAAATTCAAATACGGAATTTTAAATATTTTAATTATTAATGTTTTGACTAGTTAAACTATAACCCGGGAGTATATTTTAAGTGCTCGGTTTCATTTTATGTCTACTCATTAGATGGTATTTTTTTTTTCTAAATTACTAATTCTCTCCTTATTTGTATTAAGTAATTTGGAAACCATGCTATAATAATAAGATATTATTTATATACCTATGGTAATTATAAATAAGAAGTGGGATTTAGAGTTTAGACCTATAATAATTTTTAAATAGTAAACAAATTGACCAAGAAAACAAAAGAATTTAACTTTTCAAATTATTAGACCAATCACCCGTGGAAACCAAAAAGTCTCAAAAAATAACTTTTTTAATTGATAAATAATCATTAAATTATTATCTTTTAATTTCTCCATCGTTTCAGTGACTACGTGTTTGATTTAAGAAAATCGTTTCTAATAAATAAGATTCTTTTATATTTATGTTTTCTTTGTTTAAATTTTATGTTTTAAAAATACTTTTGGTATCTTACCCAAATTAGAAAATTGGTTAAGATTTGATAAACATTTTAAAAAGTATACAATGAGCAAATAAAAGTATAAGTAAATAAACATTTTTTTAAAATAAAATCGTCATTGAATAAAAATTTAATGGAAAAAAAATAAAAAATGAAAGATTTACACAATTTACATGGTTGATCACCTAAACCTCAATATGAATTAGATATATATTGTAAAATGTTAAAATAGGAACTCAATTACTAATTCATATTGAGATGAATTAGATAATGTATTTAAAAGAAAATAGAGAGAGATAAAAAAAGAGAAACTGATTATAACAATAATTACTACAAATTCCTATACTTACTTTCTAATATCAGAATCTTTTTATAAACATATGAACTTAATAAATTTAAACTTTTGTTTGTCTCTAAGCTTTTGAGACTTATTTATTTATACATTCTAATCTTTTCCGAATTTTCATGAACGTTCATTTCCATCATCGTCGTTACTATCTAGAAAAAAAAAAATCATTTCCATCCTTGTCGATAATCTTTAAAGTTGATATTAATTTCAATATATTGATTTATGACTAAATTTTTATATGAAAAATTATTGAACGAGATTGTTACAATGTGGTTGCCCCCTAAAAACAATTCGATGTAAACTCAAAAATCTACATGCCCATAATAAACCAACGGATACAAACTCAAAATATTTTTTAAAATTTATTAGCAAAATTACGACAGCTTCGTCCAATAATTTCTCAATTTACATGATACTATTATGCACTAAAAATGGGTAGCCAATTTTTATTTTAATTTTTCCTTTTGAAAGGATGTCACAACCTAACCCAACAGAAGGAATGGAAGTGAAAGATGGAGCCAAATTTTCTTTCTTTAAAGACAAATAAAGTACTCTTCACACCCTTGTAGATTGGAGTTTTCATCAACCAATCAATTTGCTAAGTGTTTTTTGGGTGAACTAACCCTCTTTCTCCCAATCCAAGAAACTTGTCCCAATATTTAAGAATAAATTGTAAATATTATCTTAATTCTTAAACTTCACTTTAATCTTTCAAGTATTTTCTTTAAACCCCATAACTTTTAAATTTTTTAATTAACCCAAATTGAACTTTGTATAATAACTTATTGACAACTCTGATCCACTACTTAATTATTTAATAGTGTAAAAGTATAGGTAAGTAATATCTTGTCAAGGAAAATGATAATAGAGTATTGGGCTTAAAGTAACATAGTCGAGAAGTATGATCCTTGATTTACTCAAAAGATAAGACCATTCCCTTCTAGTTTCTCGATATCAAATGCCATGTAAGATCGATTTAAGAATCCAGTGAGAATAAAGAGAATAGCAGACTTATTTAGCATTTCATTGATTGGAGTGGATAAAATTGACAAGAACTTTTTGGGAAAGCCGTTTAAACACTTATCCAAATAGACTTCTATTCAAAAAATAAATGAATAAAAAAATGTTCAAATTAATTTTTTAACATTTTTGTTATAAATTTTGTATAATTATTATTTTACAATTTTATATAATTTACAGTATAATATTATATTTTTCATGTTTTAATTTTAAAAGAAAAAATGAAATGAGTTAAAATAACATGAAATAAAATATTTACCAAAGTTTTTTTTTTTTTTTGTAATTTTAAGTTTCAAATTTAAAATATGAAAATACTGAAAATATACCATTGTACCATTATTGTTGAAAACAGTTTCAAAAGACAAAACTGTCAATGCTACAAATGCACTTAATTCATTAGATACAATGAATTTAAAAAACAGAATACTCATTGCCAAATCGAACATGTCTTTTGTAGTCCTAAAAGAACCATGAGGATAAAAGGAAATAAAAAACAAAAACGGAAAGTTACAAACTTATCTATTAATTTATCTATATATTTTTAGTACAACACGGAGATAAAAATTCGAACTCACTATAATTGGAAATAGTTATCATAGTTGATCTTTAGTACAACATGTAAAGATGAAAATTTTAAGTCACGGTAGTCGAAGGAAACTAATCTAGCCTATTCACATCATTCTTCATTTTGTTTCCTGCTTAATTCACTTAATTAAGTCAACCCTCTCTCTCCCATGTTTCTCTCTCTAAAAACACAAACACAGACAAGAAGACAAGTGGGAGAAAAGAAGTATCAGACAGAATTCAAAAACAAGAGTCAGAGACAATCAGAAGTTAAATTTTTTTCGAGTCTCGATATATAATTTTTACTTTTTCCTGGCATGCGAGATTTCTTTTTTCCTTTTAGTTTAATACTTAATAGGGTGGGTAGGCCTGCTACATAAATAAAAATCTGTGACAATAATAAATTAAGGTTTTGAAAAACCAAAACAAAACACTAACAAAGGAACTAACAAAGGACTTATGTTCTCGGCTTTTAGTAGAATTAATTAGGGGCATGCAGGCCGGCCGACAGACAAAGATTTCTCTTTTCTGTGAGTGGTGTCTTTTCTTTTTTATATATATATAATGAAATTCCAACAGGGTTTTGCCTTAAAAGAAGAGGGATTAATCTTAATCTAATTCTTTTCTTCTTCTGTTATTTGTTGTTGCTGAATATCTTTGGTTTTGGAGTTTTTGATTATTAATTATGCAGCTGAAGAAGAGATCAGGGTTGTTAATGGAGGCTAATAATAAAGGTGGGGAAATTAGAAGAGTTCATATTCTTTACTTTCTTAGCCGGATGGGACACGTGGAGCAACCTCATCTCATCCGTGTTCATCATCTCGCCGCCGCCACCGCCACCGCCGTCGCCGGCGTTTTCCTCCGAGGTTCTTACTCATTCCTTTCTGATCTTTTGGTATGAAGTGGGTTTCTTCTTTGTTTGAAGAAATGGGCCAATGGTGTCAAATTGGCATTGTTCAAAAAGATGGCTGAATTATAAATTCATAAGTACACTAATTAATTAATTCTATCCATCGGAATAGAAATGTCGTTATTTCTTTAATATTATTGACAAGAAATTTTATTCACCCTCAAGTTATCCATAAATGAGTTAACTTGAAAATTTGGAGGAGATCACCTAAGTTTAATCTTTTTCTTCGGGTTAAATGAGTATTGATATGAAATGAGTTTCTTCTTGTTTTAAAGAATGAAGAGTTTAGTCGATTAATTTCTCAAAATAGGAAAATAAATAATTAAAAATACTTAATCCACCAACTTAAAAGATTTTGGATTTAATTTAGAGAACAAGAAATCTCACGTTCAAATTTTTATAATCTCTATTATTTTTTGGGTCTCATGTGTTAATTTCTCGAGTTCAGTGGAAGTTTAATATCTCTCATACGGTATGAAACGAATCGGGTTTTGTTTTCTTGGCATGTTTGAAGATGTAAAGAGGTGGCTAGGGGAATTGAGAGGGAAGGAGATGCCAGAAGCCTTCTCATGGTCATACAAAAGGTAAGTAAGTTAAAAAAAAAGGAACTCCATTTGATTTCCACCATTGTTACCCTCTCTCTCTCTTGCAGTAAAAAGTAAAAAGGCACAATTTTTCTCTCTTTTTTGAGAACCCAAGTTTGAATTGAATTGTATTGTACTAAGTGAAAGAGAATTAATTGAACTGAGGGTTTGCAGAAAGTACAAAACAGGCTACGTTTGGCAAGACCTGGTGGATGACGATCTCATAACTCCATTTTCTGACAACGAATATGTCCTCCAAGGATCTCAAATAATTCAATTTCCCWCTCTATTTCGTAATTTCTCCACTCCCACTCGTGACCCTTTTTTCCATTTTTTTTCTTTTTTCAAAATTAATATCCTAATATTCGTTATATATTGTATTTCTCACAGATAATTCTGGCCTCACTTGTTCCTCCTCTAAGCAGAGGAAAAATTCAGTGTTCAGATCAGATGAATTGGAACCCACTCGAGATTTTCCGGCCAAACTGCAAATGAATGGAGAATCGCCGCSGTGCGATTCGGAGAGATCGACGGTCACAGACGACGGTGATTCCATCAAGGTTGAAGAAGAAACCAAGAATTTTTTGGAGACAGCAAAACAGGGAATAGGAGTAGAAGAAATTGAGGGATTCAACAACCAATATTCTTCGTTATATGAGAAATTGAAGGAGGAGAAATATATAGAGAAAGACAAAATGGAGAAAGAAGGTAACTTTTTTTTTCTAAATATTTTTTTAGCACAGAGAACTTCATCAAATTCATAACTTTTTTATTAGAAATATATATCCGTTATTAATAATCTAGGTTCACTTTGTCCTACTATTAATTAATTAAAAGATGGCTTTTTTTTTACTATTTTAATAACGATTTTTTTAACTCAAAAGGAGTTTATCTAATTATTTATCCCTCGGTATCTATATTTTTWACTATTATTATTAAATTTTTGACAAGTACTAAAAAATAAGTTTTTTTTTTAGATGTCAAGTTTTTATAGGTGATTAACGTAAATAGAGAGGTGACTAACGTAATGTAATTAGGAAATTTTTATTATTTCAACTGTGGCATTCCACTTTAAGAGTTTAGACTCATAATATTTTTTTTGATTTGTTGATATTTGAATATGCTCAATAATTATTTGTCAACCACTGTTTAAATAATAACCTCCAATTAAGTTGAAATTTTCGACTTTTTTTTTAACACAAGGAAACAAAATACCAATTTTCAACCTCTCTCACTTTAGAAAATTGGTTATGATTGAATAAACTTTATAAACCAAAAAATCAAACCGTAAAGTTACTAAATCCGAACAGGTGGACCCACTGCCACGTCAACAGTTTCATCATCGTCGTCATCATCATCTTCATCTACTCATCCTGCTTTCACGAAGAGCAAGAGCTACTCGAGCGGAGCTTCCCACGTGCTTCGCCAATGGATCACGTGCGGCGCCGTGGATACGAACGACACCGTTTTGATCAAGAACCGATCTGCCGCCAAAGATCCACCGAATCTGCCGGAGAAACCCAAAAACGACGCCGTTATTTGCAGAGACGACATGTTGGGCGGCTCTGCCCGAGTTCTCCGAAGTTCTTGGGACGGGCAGCTCGATATCCACCGCCACAACAACCAACAAAACTCTCGGTAATATTCTTTAACTTCTAGCTTTTTAATTTTTTTCTTTTTTTTACTTAATATAACAGTTGCTTGAACTTGACAGATTTTTATTTCAGAATTAATGGAATGTAATAGAGTTTAGTGTTGAATAAAAAATACTAGAATTTGTTTAAGGGGATAAAAGGACAATTTAAGAATAATTGGTAAGTTTTAACAAAGTTGGACGAGATTGAATTTTAATTGGAGATGAATAAGAGTAAAACGATGCGTTTTGGGCGTATTTTGCAGGAAAAGCTTCGATGAATTAAGGAAGAAGAGGCCGAAGGAAAGCGGCGGGAGAAAGGTGGCGGCGGCGACGGCGGCTTTCAAGGCGATGGGCGGACCGAACTGCTCGTAAGTTTCCTCATTTAAGTAACCATTTTTCTGACTAATTCCATGAAAATGTGTTCTCACTTTTTAGTTTTGGTTGGTCAACGCAATTATCTCAATAATTTTAAAAGTGCAAACACAATGGCCTTATAAGAGTTGAAGAAGTAGTCTGTTTTAGAAGTCTTCTCTTTTAAATTTGCATAAACCCCTTTCAAGAATATACTTATAAACAATATATATATAAAGTTCAACTTGTTATTTAACGTTGGTTGAACTAAAAAGGGCAAAAAAAAAAAAGTAGTTCTTTTCACTTAAAATATTTATTTGTTGGGAATAATAAAACAGCCAACTAATCCAAATGAGGTTGTAAGTTGTAAATTTGATTTGAATTCTGTTTTAGACGAAATTAAAACTTGATATGATATTAGCTAATAAATATTGTATGCATTGATTATTGATTATATTGTTGGGTTGGTAAGGAGTGAAAACAAAGTTTATATTAACTAGAGGAGAAGAAATCATGACTATATAAGTGAAGGACAACACCTCTATTGATATAAGGTTGAAACAAAARCAAAGACGTATATCAATTTTGTTTKGTTGATAAAAATCCAACTTAAATTATTTGGTTAAAGTGGTGATTTAACATAGTTGAAGAAAATAAAGGGAAAAAAAGTGGTTTAAATTCCATTTTAATGAGAATCAAAATCTGATTTAGGATTAAACTAATAAATATTGCATGTATTTTTTATTTTGTTGGGTTTGTAGATATAAGTGAAAGACAACATTTTCATTGGTACGATGTTTAAATCAAAAGTAAATGTCGCAAGAATTATGTTCAAAACATACAATATCATAAAGTTGGGTTAAGCATCGTTTCCTAACTAGAAYGAAATAATCTGGAATCTTAAATACGATTTGACATCTTTGAAATGCATTGCAATTGCAGGCAATGTGGGAAGAGTTTCAAGCCGGAGAAGATGCACGCACACATGAAATCGTGCAGGGGGCTCAAGTCTCTGCTCAAGACTCCTTCAACTTCCAACAAAACGACATCGTCTAAGTCAACCACCACAACAACTTCCCACAACTACTTTTTGACCAACTGAACCTTCCATCACTTTTCAACACTATAATTTTATATATGCTCTCACAGAGAATGGTGTAAAGCTACCAAAATATAGCAGAGCAGTTGATGAAGTTTAATGGAAGTTTCATGGCAGATTTCATATAGAATTAGGCTTAAATCTTGCCCAAAATATGAACTCAAATCAGTCTTTACTCTTAATCAAACACAATTCAGTGTCAATTCAATTCTCTGCCATATTATGAAACTATGAAGATACGCAAAGAAGAAGATTGATGTCAACATTTGGTTAAATTTCTACTCTAGACTTGGAAATTAGTTTCATGACTCTAGTTTTCGCGATCTTTCAAGGTTGTATCTATACTTGACTCGAGCGAGTGGCAACGTCGCCGTGATCCAGAAGGAACTTGTAGAGTTTCTTCCTCAGTTGCTCCATACGATGATCGATTTCGACTTCGCTTTCGGTCAGCTCATTCATCCATTGGTTTACCCTTTTGAGCTGCCTAAGAAGATGCGCAACCTCGGCGCCCTCTTCCCCTCCGGKTATCCCAAAACCGTTGCCGAGAAGATCCTCCAAGTACTTCACGAACCATCTGCGGGAAACCGAGAGAAGTTCCTTTGCTAGTTCTGCAGCCTCTTGCAAACCACTCCCTTTGCACCACTCTTCCCTTTTGGAAGAATGTGAGAGCTTAGTTCTTGAATTGGATGGATGGTTTTTGCGGTTCGTGGGGCTTGGTTTAGGGGAATCGTTTTCGAAATCGAGTTTCGTCGTAGCATTCTCGACAACGATGTAGAGTTGTCTGCCTCGGGTTTGCGTTTCGAGCTTGTCTTTTGTCTCGAACAAACTGAATTTGGAAAGATTTGTGGCAATGGCAGCCTGAATCCATGAAGTAGCATTGTTGTTCTTATGAGCTGACGGGATTTTGTTGAGTAAGGAATTTAAGGTTGAGTGTGCTTGTTGGATTCTCTGATAGAGTTGTAGAAATTGCTCTGCCAATGAACCAGCAGAAACTTGCTTCCAAGAATCACAGAGTTCTGCAAATAAGCTTTGGAGGAAAAAAATAATAAAATAAAAGGAAAAAATTAACAAAAAAGAAAAAAACTAAAGGATATATTTGCAATTATATATACACACATTTAAATGTAAGTTTGATACAGAGTTTTGCATTTGAAGCTTCATTTTAATCCTCAAATTTTAACCCTTTTCATTTGGATATCTTAAAGTTTTCATCTTTCACATTTCTATTTTTTTATGTTTGGTAACACATTTAGTAAATGCAAATATGATATAATGTTTTTTTTTTAATATTTGTGAGTGTCCGGACCAACTTGCATACATCTCGACTAATTTCACGAGACAATCGTCTAATCCTACTACATTTTATTGTCAAAAAAACTCGTAGGATATTAAACCTCAGGTAAAATGTCACCATGATTTTAATGAAATGTAATATAACTTCATTCATTCTCTTTCTTTATTTTCTAGGAATAAATTCAAACTACTACCTATACAAAATGGTAGAAAAACACTAATACCTAGCCACTCAAACTAGGTTCAAGAAGGCCCATTCATGATCTACATGTTTTTAGTAACTCATCCTCACATTATCATAACCATGATAGGAACCAAATCTAAAATTTACCAATGCTTGAGGACTTAAATTTAGCTTATGTTTGAAGATTAAATTATAAGTTTAGTCTTTGAACCTTCATATAATTGTGTTTAATAGGTCCTTCAATTTTGTATCCAATAAATTCATAAACTTTAAAGAATGTGTAATAGGTTTTCAAACTTTTAATTTTATGTCTAATCAATACCTTACTTATTAAACATTTGTAAGAATTCAAGAATGTATCGAACACGAAATTCTTGAACTATAAAAAATTTATAATTGGTCAACACAAAATTGAAAATTCAAGAATCTACTGGACACTTCTTAAATTTTGAAGACCCATTAGACATAAAATAGATTGCTTAGGGACATGTTAAATGCAACATAAAAACTTAGTTAAAAAATACATTTAGTCATGTGTTTTCAATAAAGTAACAATTTAATTCATGAACTTTAATTCATAATGATTTAGTTTTTACATTTTCAAATTGACAATAAAGTAGCCCTGAACTATAGCATGTAACAATAGTTTAATATTTGTAACAATTTAGTTTATACGTGAAAAATCTTATCAAAACTAAGTATCAATTTTTATCATCATCAAACAATTTAGTCTTTGTAATTTAAGAATACATTTGGTCCCACATGAGTTTATCGACATATATATAAAAAATCTTTTAAACCTTCACAAAACCTTTTACGATATAGGGACTAAATTGYTACAATCTTCAAACTACACGAATTATATTGTTACATACTAAAGTCTAAGGACTAAACTGTTACCGATATGAAAGTACAAAGATTAAATCGTCACTTAAACACTAAAACAACTTTACAGGTTTAAGGCTAAATTTGTAACTCAACCAAATACAAAAAAGTATGAAACTTTTAAGGATGAATGTGAAAATTGATTTCAAAGTTTGACGAAAAAGAATGTAGAAGTAGAGAAGTGTATGATATTTCATACCACATGCAATGGAGTACGGCTTCAGCAGCTGATGCTTCTTCCAATGCATAAACTGCTCCCATAAATGCAAGATTTCGACTTTCAACAGCTCTCTGCAAATATTCACTTCCCAAATATGTCGGAGTCAAAAAGTAAAATTATGACAAAAGTTTACGTTTTATAATTGTTAAATTCAAAAAAGAAAAAAATTAAGAGATAAATTTTTATTTTAAAATTTTATAATTGTTAAATTCAAAAAAGACAAATTAACGCAATTTACACCCTATTGCAATTTGCAAATGCCCATTGATAAATATTTTGTATACTTCTTTTTAAAAATTGGTTAAAATACATTTTCCTTTTGTCTCTATGTTTTTATTGAATTAATCATATAGTTAATAAATTTTAGTTTATAACAATTTAGTCTCTGTACTTTCAAATTTATTATTAAAATATAATAATTTCTTTCGTGTATTTTAAAACTTATAACAATTTAGTTATTATGTAAAAAATCTTATTAAAATTGTTTCGATTTCTATTTAGACTTTATAGTTTGTAAATACACTTGATCCATCCTCGTTTTATACGTCCACACATATATAAAATAGAATTAAATATTAACAACATTTTTTACGATATAGATTAAGTCATCAATTTTTAAATTGTTACGAATTTAAAAATAGTGTGAATCATTACAAATTATTTAAAGCACAAACCTAAAAAATTATATTACTTCTCTTCATTTCTTTGAAATATTTTTCCATATTTCTTTCAAGTATATTAGAGTTCTAAGTCAAATTTTAACATTTTGGTTTAAATTTTGAAAGTTTTTTAAAATGTAGACAACAAAGGGAAAATGCAGTGAAAGTAGTGCTCAAAGCTAAATTTTCAAAAGTGGAAAAAAAAATGGTAATGAATCGAGCCCTAAAAAATATCTTCCCATATAATCTGGTAAACAAAATAATACCTTTCCGGCAACGGCCATCGTCGACGGCAACGCCTTCCACGCTATCTTCTTCTCAAACCCAGTTTTCAAATCCACGGCCACCGGAACGGAGCGACTTCCCACCGCTTCCGCCGCCGGTGATTTCCCATCTTTCCGCCCAACTTCCGTCCTCGTCTTAGGCGAAAACTTCGGAGCCTTGGGCGGTGAACCGGCGGTCTTGACGGCGGCGGACGGCGGAGGTCCCTGGTCCCACCCCCGCCGCGCCGAGTCCAAACTCAACCTCCTCGGCTCCACCTTCTTAGCCAGAGGCTTCGACTTCGCCGGTCGCTTGGGGGCGGCGGCGCGTGAAATAGGGAGCGCGTCGCTGGAGACCAAATCAGTGGGGTTTCCGACGCAGGGCCTTCTTCTGGAAACGGGTTTCAACCCGCGGAGAATGGGAACCCTAGAATCCGACCCGGCCGGGTCGAACCGGGAGACGTGGACGAACTGGCCGAGCTGGATCTTGTCGCTGTAAATTAAGTCCACGTCGGCGTCGGAGAGGGCGGCGTAGGCGGCGTGAAGAGAATCGGAGAGTTTCAAGAAGAAGCCCCGGCTCCGCCACGGGTCGTTCTGGTCGTCACCGGCACCGGGAAGAGACGGGAGGATCTCGAGGACTTGGAGTAGAGGTGACCGGTGCTGGCCGGTGACTTTGAAGTCCTTGTTACCGGCATTTTCTATGAGCTTGGAGAGAACGCCGGGGGTCAGAGACGCCATGGCTGTTCCCGCCGAAGCTTTAACAACATCACACAGTTATGGAAAATGCTGAACCCTTTTAACTTTTTTTTTTTTATCTATACATATATAAATCTTCAATTTTGAAAAGATTGAGACAGATTAGATATAAATTTTAAAATTTTAGACTCCGTACTTTAAATTTTAAAATGTGTTTAACAGGCATAAATTTTTTATGTTGCATTCACGTCATCAATCAAACACACTCTAAAGCAGTTATCTTCTAAAAATTTTGGTACCTCTAACGACCACGGAATATAAATTCAATGTACTTTTATGATTTCTTTTTCCTTTTTCATAATGTAAAATTACTACTCGCCCACTTAAAAATTAATTTATGAAACATATTTTTAATAATTAAACGTAGTAGGATCAAATTATTATTTCGTGAAATTAGTCGAGATGCATACAAATTGGTTCGGACACTTGAAAAACTACGGATTAGTGGTTACTTTATGACAGTCTCTACCGATAATTTTTCGATAAGAGAAACGAGGAGAGAAAGAACACGTGTCGAAAGGAGAGAGAGAGAGTAGAGGTTGAGATTTCCGAGGTTAGAAATGGAGCAGCAGAAACAGAGCTCAGCTCCCCAGAATGATGCCCATCCGCCATTACAGACAAACCAAACGCATCTCCATGACTTAACATAATATAATATTAATATACCAACGTTGGCTAGTAGAGAACACCAAAATCCAATTGGTCAAAAAATTCTGACACTTTAATGTAATTTTTGACAAATATCTATTTTAATACAACAAATTCTTGGCCGGAGATATTTGAATTATTCTTCCTTTGAAAAAACATTTCATGTTTAAATGTTTGGTATGATCATTATGGTTAGGATTTTTCTTAATATGGTAAAAAAAAATTACTAATTAGTTAAATATAATTATTTCAAAACTATTTTTAAAATATTGGACCTTTTTATTTGTACGAGGTAAGATCATTTCTTTATAGGACTGAAACGTATCTTTTTCTACTTCGTAGGAATAAAAAACACAWTATTTTAAAAAACAGTTTCAAAATAATTCTTTTTTACAATAATTTAAGTTTTAATAAAAAAAATCTAACTAATTTATCTTTTAATTGGATATATAATGTTTGAAACATGTTATTCAATGAGAAATTCGGGTAATATAAAATGACTACCTAGGACCCTCTTGAAAAAATAAAATTAAAAAATAAACTATTATGTAGAGTTTAAGGACTAAAACATAATAGTATAATGATTTGACACGTAATGTAATTAATTATCAAAATTAGTGGACCTAAATAGAATTTCAACACACTACATAACCTAGATAATAGTATAATTTGAGAATTGGGGAGTCTTTGCTTGTTTAAATCGTGAAGATCAATCAATTTCCTTTAGTTTGTATAACTTGTATTTTTGTCATACAATTTAATTTACCATTTATAAAAAGTTAGCCGGCAAAGTAAGATGTAAGATTATGTAGTCTATTACGTTAGCACCTTTGTAGCTTAAAATAAATTATTTTTAAAAAAATCGAAGTTAAATAACTCTCCGTTGAATTTTTTTTTTTTAAATATTTAGACTCTTACTGGTCCGCAATCTTTTAACTAACCACCATTAAATTTTTGTAAATGTAATATATATATATATATATACATACAAAAAATTAAAAAAGAGTCCCTTTTTTTCTGTTCAACCCCTAGATAAGTATTGATGGATAAGCTTCCAAGTATTGTTACTCCTCAACCTATAACTTTAATAAAATTATTTTTAAAAAAAATTACTTGTTGATTTGTAAATATTAGAATTATTATATGGACAAAACTTCGCTCCTCCTGAAGATTGAAGATTCAGGAAGAAACTCCTCTTGAATGCATGCCTAATCCAGTAACATAATTTTTTTATTTTGTATAATTTTTATGTGATCCACTTATGTATATGCTAGACCACATAGGAATTTAGGGAGAACTTCTTTTAGCAGGGAAGTTTTTCCCTTATTATATGTACTTGAAGTTGCTGTTAACAATTTAATATATTTCAAAGACAAAATAATTTATCGTGTACTAAAAAGACTAAACGGAACCGAAAAAAAAAAGTGTCTTTAAGATGTTTGAATGTTGAATATTTAGATGTTGAAGATTTTGGATATTAGAGTTCTAGAGCATTAAAAATCTCTATATTCCTACAAATCAAACGAATGAATCTGGTAATGAATATTTAAGATTATTGTAAAATAAAGACTAAAGAGCACCACAATTTACTCGTGGATTGGATTTATATAAAATGAGATGGTGAAATAAAGTTGAAATCTAGTATAGCTACGTAAATTCCATGTCGTCATACGCTTCTAGCATACAATTCAAATATAGACTGTACAAATCAACCCCAATTAGAGCCGATTGGAATGTTTTGTCAATCACGGAACCAAAAAGAGGAGGAAGTTGATCCATGCATACATCTTACATCTTCAAGAGACCGCATAAAATGTGACATGTGTTGGTCATGTCAAAATTTTGAATGCTTGGTCTTTTCCTTTTCCACACTATTTTGTTCTCATTCTTGTACAATTTTTAAGATTTCTATATACTTTTGATTCGTTTGAGATGAGTTTTTATCTCACATATAGGTAGAAATTACAAAGAGATCGTTTTAGGAAAAAATATGACGCACCACGTGGCGAGATATGACCGAGCTCCTTAGCTCATTCATAGCCGACCTCAATCATTGTCGACCTATGACCCGACATCTAACCGCCTTGTCGTAACGGCCATAACGGACGTATCCTTTCACTCCATCTATAAAAGGATCTTCATTCCTCTTACTCATGTATGCAATTCTACTCCCATAATGACCTATTTGAGCTTGCGCCTATACTAACTTGAGCGTTAGAATGTTTACTTTCTTTTTGCAGGTCCTATTTTGCATGAACTCACACCTCGACAACTCGGCCAGTTGCCACGTGGCCGACCTTGACAGCTCGGCAAAATTTTGCATCCCTGAAAGAAACCCAATTTGAGCACTCACCCTGATGAACGAAGCAAGAACAACATCATTGTGATTCATTTAGATGCAAAGATGTTTGGTAATACTTTAAAACACACCAACCCCACAAGCCTTTTTCCATTAGGCAGCTGACTTGTGACCATTTTTTATCTAAGCTGTGAAGAAAAAACAATCTCTCATAAAATAGACTTTGCACCTTTTTGAAATGCCTTCAAAACTACCACCTTCATTGTTTACTAAGCAATCTTCACAATCATTCTCTCTCTCTCTCTCTCTCTCTCCCTTTCTCCAAAAAAAAAAAATCCTTCTTCAAATTATATATATTTATAAAGAAGGGTGTGTCACTCATTGCCATGGCCTTTCCTTTGTGAGGCAATGGGGAGTGAGAGCATATCTCATCAACGCCATTATGATATCTCTATGTCAAAGAGAACAAGAAAGCCAGCCAAAATCCGAGACGAGCTTCAAAATCTTTCCTTGAACAAAGATGATCTTCTTCCTTCTCACCAAGTCGAGAGCCCTCCAACGAAAGGGTTCGAGAACAATGACCATAAAAGCTTGAAACAGCTCATCACAGGCGAAGGAAAAGCGGAAACAAAGTCGGGAGCGGATGAGGGTGGCCGAGGAAGGAGCTCTCTTGGCCAACACTTCAATGAAGATAAGAATAATCTTCAAATGGTGAGATCAAAGCAACAGCCAGATGGGCTACAACGAGTGAAGCTGAAAAAAGTGGTTGGAAAATTTCTGAGGAATTTGATAAAAGGTGGCGATCAACACCACCTGAAGAAGCCAAGAAAAAAATCCCTCCTTTGATTCACAACAGAGAGTAAATATTCATCGAAACTTCTCTACAATTTGGTGAAAATGGAGTTTTTTTTTTTTTAATTTCACTACGCCATTGAAGAAGAGGATTAAGTTTCTTGGAAATTGTATATGAAACTATATATATATGTTTATCTATGTTGTTGTGTGAATGCTTTTTTATTGTTGTAAACTCATAAACATGAACCAACATGAACATGAGCTTAACCTAATGATAATTGGTCCCCTCTCCCGCTCGTCGTATTAAAAAGAAAAAAAACACTGATAAACATGGGATTTTTATGAGTACGTGGGGAAGAGGTAAATCAAGATAAAATATTGATCTGGCTTGTAGGGAATCTGTTTTAATTTTATTATTATTATGGAAATTCTAGATAATCACTGCAAGATACTTGATTTATCTCTCATTTTTTAGAACAAGATATGTTCTACATTTGGTGCATTTTTTACCCTAAATAATTGTTTTTTTGGTTTTATCAGAGTACAAAATAAAAAAAAATAATAATAACAATAACATAAGGATACTTTATCATCTTAATTCTTAAAATGATTGAAATAACTGCATATATATGATTTTAATGCTATAGTAATCACTGGCAGTTGTTTTTTTTTTTTCATTAATGTAACACCTTACAATTACAGGTGAAAATGAAAAAACCAATTGACCTTTGACAGTCAAATTATTCTTCAAGACAACACCTAATAACCATAAATAGGACATGAAAAATCATATAAAATCAACCAACAAACAAGCAGGCAGGATGAATCAGTCAATAACCAGAATCAAAGGCTAATCTTCATATGCATTGAGGCCAAGCAGAGACATAAACAATGAGATACAAACACTAGGATTACACTGAGTTGAACTAATACATTCATAGTAAAACAACTATACTAAACTCGACGATCAAATCTTTGAATAAATGATAATTTGATACCTGTGCTATGTGAGTATAACAATCACCTTGACCATGAGAGGAATGAGGTTGAATTGATTAGTTTTGTTGACTCGATCTTCCGTCGTGTAAGTAATTCCTGTTCAGCTAATTTTTTTCTGTAGAACTTCTTCAGAGGTACAATTGATGTTGACAATATGGGATTGGAATTGGTCTATTTACAGATCTTCTGGTTGATGACTTAATTTACATGATCATTCCAGTAGTGATTCTGTTAAATGTTTGGCATAAGGGGCATGGAGGTCCATGCTGATTGTAACTGCTACTCCAAGGAATGCACATACTGCAGGCACAAGCCCTAAACCATATCTTGTAACCGAGACATAGGTGGCGCCGAGATAATTGTTCTCCGAGGAGTGTAATGCAGTGGTGCCTACATAAGGGATGGGATATTACGTCGCGTGGAGCTGGAAGTGTAAGTTGGAATTCGAAGTTTGTGAAAGAATAACTCACTTTGAAATGACTCGAGAAAGAATAGAGCAAGCCCACATGAGATTTTGTCCAGGAAGCTTAATGAACCGCAAACAAATGCACAACCATTGAGATCCCTTCCAACTAGAACACTTTGCATACTCACTCCAGTCACCTGTCAAGTAAAAATGAAAATATAATCATCATATTTAAAAGGTTGTGAAACACTATGAGTGCATGATCTAATAAACATTTACATTGTTCCCACCTAAAAGAGTAAATTGAGGAATCATTTACTTATTTTTTTGATTGGGGGTGGATTGCAATTTGAGCCATTTTGGCCACATCAACATTTACTTGTTCCCACCTAAAAGAGTAGATTTTAACAATTGATCTTGATTAGGAGCCAAACTGATGATTACAAAGTGCTTAATCGGTTTGATGACTCGCACCTATTCTCCAAAATTTCAAACTCTTCCAAATTATTTACCCAATATTCACTCTCTCTATGACTAAAATATCTATAATAAAAGTCCTGCATTACTCTGTCTCCAAAACATACCTTGCCTCAAGGTGTGGGTGAAGGCAGTGACATTTAAGGACCATCGCCTTTTCAAATCAACTGCTAACTACATACAACATTGCTCTATTAGACTTCCACTCATTACAGAAAATTCTCAATGCTACCTTCACTCACGACCTCAAACTGTAAAATCAAACTGTTTTAAATCTTCCATTAACTTAATGAAAAATCTTATAAATCCTTTGGGCCCCTACAGTTGACAGTCAAACAAGTAGGCACTGAAGTTAGTCCTCCTAGGAAACCTATTCTGAACATCATCTGAAGGGCACAGAGGAATCACAGCAGATCCCAAAACTATGGTTTTTCTTGCAAGAAGCGGTAGTTTAGGCAAATCGTAACGTAACATTCAAAACAGGTATTCAAGGATTTGAAATCTCTCTCTAGCATAGCCCTAACATGACTCCTTATTCATTACCAAACCCATAACCGCTCTACCTCCATGGACTCGCCTGCCTTTCCTCTCCCTGCCCCATTCATGTGCTTGGGCTTTCTTTTCCCGATTATACCTATAATGTGAGACCCCGCCTCAGGCAAACTCTCACCACGGCCTCTTAGACTCAGAACCGTGACCCTCACTCAATTTGTCAAACTTTCTCAACCACACTCAAGAAATCCCTTGCTTACCTCTCAGAAGTTTCCCCAATCCATATCAGACCTTGTTTGGGTCGCACTAAAATGTGCAAAATGGGCAACAATGTCTCTGGTTTCTCCCTTTCCCAGCCCTATCTGGTTTATTGAAGCTCCACTTTAATATGATCTGACTCATGAGCATAAACTTCAATATGAATGACCTAACTGTCACCTGATCCGATCCAACTTGCACCCCCCAATTTCGCTAAAAAATGCCTTTCATTCTATTTGTGTTTTCTTTAATCTAATTCATGCAATCCATTTATCTCCTATGGTATTTCATAAACTTCCCAGCAACCCTTTCCTGGATCCATTACAAAAGAATTAATTTTTTATACCCATTTGATAGGAACATATTGATCATAATATTAAAATATACAAAATGGAAAAGTAATTTTGAGACACTCTTGACTCCCCTCTAAATTTTAAACTATTTGGAAGATTTACCCAAAATTTTCCCTGCTTCCTAACACCCTCGTGACAGTTATACTCTGTTATTCTAACATAAACTATATAAAACATTCGACCATTAGAAATGCTGTAGAAAGAACTCACGTACATCTTTTTCTTTATCCGTAATGGGAGGAAAATATAACTACCCCACTTTTGACTAATTAGAATTTTAATATATGTGCATGAACAAGTGCTTTTATCATCCACTTTGGCTTCTTAACAAAATAAATTGTTGCTTGTAAGAAAAATCCTCTTCGTATGTAGAGGGCCAAAGAGATTACTGCAATAAATGGTGCATGGATATAGGGCATCCAAACTTAGACATACCGTCATTAAAGCATTTGCTACGCCAATAAATGAGGACATGACGTACATAAAAGCACTCATGCTTGTAGGTAAAATGAGTATCACCGCACCACAAACCATCCAAAGAACGCCCCCAGCAGAATAATAAATCTTCAGGCGTTGGCCAGTCCAAACAATCTCCTATAATATGAACTTAAGAAAAGTCAACAAAGGACAGGAACCGGAACTAAAGTTCAATAAAATATAAACATGATATCTGAACGGGACCTGGAGAATCACAGATACGATGAAGCTGAAGACATAGATTATTGCAGGAACCTAACCAATCAACAAAAGAAAGTGCGTCATAATTTTGCATCGAAAGCAATTTAAAGAAATTTGATGCAGGTAAAAGGTTGTGATGTACCAAAGCTGTAGCTGACTTCGCCAAATGCAGATCGTTGATAACATAATATGCCAGAAATGCCTGATAAAATTTTCCAAAAAAAAATAGTAGTTAAAAGCTGACGTGCAAACTTCCATTCAACACCCCTCGCCCCCCCCCCGAGGAAGAGAGAGAGAGAGAGAGAGAAGAGAGAGAGGAAACTAAAAACTGCCTAGCAAATAACTTCTCTCCTATATGAAGTGCACTTCTTCGAGGATAATATCCTGAAATAAAGCTTCGCTTCCATTCTGAACTATTTATTAAAGAAATTAGACTTTTCTCCATGGAAGCTTAGGACATATCCAGTTCCTGATCCAAAAACAAGTCTTCTTGCAAAGAATACAACAGAAAACATTGTATTCTACTATTCTTTAATATCTGGAAAATGTGGTCAGTTGCAGTTGAAGAAAATAAATTTTAGATTCAGAAATTACAATGATGGATTTAGTTGTCAAATTTGTAAACAATGGACAATAAAAAATAAATGTGAGTCTTTCAGAAACCTCATGTTCGTCACAGTGAACATTAAATTGACGAGGAAAAAATCACCAGAACTAGGGGAAGCTCCGCTTTCTTCACAGAACATATCTATTGCAACAAACTAGATCTTCTCAAAACAGCCATCAAACTAGGGATTTCAAGAAACAGTTGCTTAATATGTCCAACATGATTCAGTCAACATAGGGTTATCGGTTTCGTTCAAGTGAAAATAGTATAAACCATTTATTTGAGGGCCAAGTTGTATTTTCCATTAGTTTAACCTGGTCTGCCAACAGCGTTTAAATTGTAATATGTATTAATTTCTAGTTTCCCTCCATCCCAAGATTTAAGCAAAGTTAAGGTACAAGTATATGTATATAACCTTAAACCTGTCAAATATTGGAAGAACACAATAATCGAGTTGGAAGAGAAGAAAAAAATGTGGTTAACTAGGAGGGTTCTAATTGAAGATTGAATTGTTTAAATTTGTTCTAAAATTTTCATTCACCAAATTTGCATTCTAGACAAAGATTCAACATAATTAAAGTGCTATAAATTTACTCGTAGAGACAGGCCTAAATTGTTTTTTTCATGGGAAAATATAAGCACTGCCAAGGAACAAAGATACTCTCCTGACCTGTGAAACATTGATTATCAGTCTGGTAAGCACATAAGCAAGAGCAACTTGATAATACAAAACTTTCTTGAACCAATATGACCATGAAATCCTAGCATGCCGATTTCCCAGTACAGCAACTTTCAAACTACATAGTACACCAAACATCAATAAGTTCTTTAGCCAATTAAAAGTACTTTGAATGCATAAAAATAAAGCTGGATAGTCTTGGCAGACATAAAAGTGACTTATCCAACCAAATGTTCGCCTAAAGTTAAATTACTATATCAACGTCTACTCATAGTTAAATTACCACGAGGTCTGCCTCTTTCTTGTTCCTGGAAAACAAAGTTACATAATTCATCCCATTGTAGGGGGGAAAAAGTAGATTGAAAAATATGGGTCTATGGAAATAAATGCAGGTTCCTCATCACATATAGCAATATTAGCTAGACATAAGCACAAAAAGATTCGGGAGAAGAATAAACAAGACCGAGCTCTTTAGCATACCTTGGCTCTTTGGTCCCTACTAGAAATATGGCCACAAAGCAGCAGCCAATGAAAATTGAAATATATGCAATCATTCGGTACTGCACGAGTGAAAGAGCGTCAATAACATGCTTGATGGAAGTTCACAAAAAAGAGCAGCCTTCTAAAGTAATAATACCTGATGTTCAATATCTGCATGTGTTTTTGCCTTAGAGATACTAAACACTAATAAAGCCACTGCATACAGGCTAAGATTTGCAACCTACAGCAGAAGAATTCAGTCCAACGTCTAAGATAAACTTGTACAAAGAAGTGAAAAATATACATCAAAACAATAAGGACCAAGGGTCTTACCATGGCAAAAGCGTTACGGCAGCTAGCCAACGCCACTCTACTAGTTGAATTCAATGTAATGCAATTTACCATAGACCTGCGCACGACCAATGCCAGGAGCTGAGACCCTCCTTTCTTTTTTTTATTTTTTTTATTTTCTGGATAGAAAGGAACCAAGACCTTTTGAAGTAAAAGAATGTGATAGAAAATAGATACTAGATATATTGAAATGAGCAGCTGCTTCTAATGATAACTAGAATTCTTCACATAGACTTCAAAAGACCTACCCAAAAAAAAACATTTTCCAAGAAACCTGTGAAAATAAATTGTTTTAAAATTGTGTCTCCTATACAAGAACAGTTGTCCCCAGTTTTCTCAAGCCATAGTATGTAGTAAACTCCAGAAGGAAAGGATGGCCAGATAATTAGTGTTCCCCACCACCCTTTGGGTAAAAATATTTCTACTCAAAAAAATCCAATGAAGAAGAGCTGGCCATACATATGTGAAACCTGAGTGGCAGCCCAACCAACATTAAAGATAGCCGCAAAAATGCTGTAGCCTACAGTTTGCAATGTTGATGAACTTCTAGAATACAATATACACGGTACGCAACCACCAAAAACAGAAGAAAATGAAACTGCCACCAACACAGATCCTGCACCATGCCATATTTTGAAATGTCCAAACCTGTCTATCTATCATTAAACAAGGAAACTAAAATTATTTGATTGATAAAGCTGTCATAAGAGGACAGAACAACTGTCTTCAGTTACATAATAATAGATGCCTGATCCAAAGTAGAAATAAACCACAAACAGTAGGAAAATCATGATCATCTCACTAAGCACTCACAAACTTCATTTAACAACTAGAGTTAATCCGAACTTAAAGGCTTGAAAAATATGTACATCTTTCTCTATCATGGAAACCACTGGAAACAAATGAGGTGTGCATGGACTTGGTGGTATGGTTTAGTATTAAGTGGGGCAAACTATATTTTCTATGTCTCAAGATAAAAAGAGGGCGTATAGGGATATTAAGAGGGTGAAAAATAATAATTTCTTTCAATACATTTGAATAAAGAATATGAAATATAAGGGCCTAGAAGTCAAATAAATGATACCGAGTTAGGGGAAAAACCAATAAAAAAACAAATTATATGCGAAGACAACAAGTAATAATCGTTCAGATTTTTTTTTTTTTTTTATAACGGGAAGTCGGATCTGTGCTCCCTTATACCCAGGGGCACCTGCTCCCGCCCCAAGGCCCGGATCTAAGGTATGTCTCAAGGGTTTTTGGTATTAAGCTCACCTAAAGGCAAATTTGAACTATATTGTATCTGAAACAATTGGAAAGGCAGATTCCTGATCCCCTCAAATGGTAAATAAAATTGTAGCTGTAAATTCGAAATCCTCAAAGTTCCAACAAATAAAGCACATTTAGAAAAGGAAAACAAAACATGCCAACAAAGAGAAGTGGAAACCCACAAAAGAAATGGACTATAACTGTCTAGAAGTTTCAAATAATGCAGTTACCAATTATAAACATATAACATATTACGAGCTACGACATACCAGTTCCCCAGCAAAAATTGTTGTTAATCCATCAGCTACTTGACCCGAAAGCATAACTGTAGCAGCATTCCTAAAAATTTTATAATATGATAGATTTAAAATAAGACAAGAGAGGTCATCAATGGAATAAAAGTTGAAGCTACATTCCAAAACCCAGATTATACAAAAACAGAATTAAAAGGGGGAAAGAAGAATCTCGAGGACATCATATGTATTATGTAGCAAATTTTATCATCCAATTCTAAAGTGAGTATAATTCAATCCAAAACTTAGTTGCAGATTATGGGAAGATATTGGTCATTAAAGTTGGTCAGTATGAACATGCAAGGCTGATGGGGGCCGACGCCAAAATTGAACCAACATCACAGAATTTCATCCATTTCACTACAAATTTCAATATATGTATATAGATGAAACACCCCCCACGCCAAAATATAGAAGCTAAGGAGGAAGATGGAAGACATACTATAATTGAAAATTATAGAAGCTAGAACAAAAGCAGTTTTCTGTAGTATTCAATTTAAATCAGGTTGCTGAGTTATTAATGGAGATGAATACCTTGGAGATAATCCAATATCTGTCAAGAAAAGTAGTAGATAAGTAAACCAGCAGGCAGCAGTGATGTCATTGAGCATGTGCCCCATGCCAAAATAGAATATAGACCATCTTCCAACGGGTTGAGCATATGACGCATAACTTTCATCATGACTACTCATGATTTAATGACGGTAGCAAACTCGGTATCCTGAAAGAGACGCCTTCTAAAGATTTGTGAACAAAGTTGTTCATCCTACTTCTTTAATTTTGATCACCAAATTAACTCCTTAAAAACTGTACTTGTTTATTTAACTTTAAATTTCAGTGGAATTTATGAAATCAACAACGATATCAAACCTGCTAGAGTCCGCAGAAGCTGTCTCAGATTTGTTCTCTTTTCTTTTATTTTCTGTTCCTTTTCCCTATTTCACCTTCAGCCTAAGATATGCGATTTCGAAACAAATAAGTAATAAACTAAAGCTTGAGTTACTAAACAGAGCGCAATTATGACAAGGGTTTCGATTGAAGACCAAGAAAATGTTAAAAGAGAATATGAAAAGAAGAGATCAACAGTGTTCTATTTCCAGCACAATGAATTTCCTTGCGATAGGGATTTCAGCAGATGATTTTTCAAATCGTTGTCCTATCAAGATGATCGTAGAATAGTAAATCAATTTTCCCTCCTCAAAGTTCAACCCGAAAGGGGAAAACAAATAAAGAGAGATATACAGGGGAGTTCCCGCAAATGAACTCAAATTTAAAATTACTTGCCAACAAGCAACGTTAGAGCATAAAGCTGCAGTACTTGTATTACCCGCCAATGAACTGAATGACCAGAAAGAAACAGACAGCGAAACCCACTCACGATGAGCCTATTCCAAAACTTCACTATAAGTAAATATGTTTCCGACCCACCAAGCGCCATAAAGAAGTTTATGGAAACAAAAATGGAAATCACTAGCACACACAGGAGCCAGAACAGGAAGCTTTTTTCAAAATGGACAAAAATCAAGTCATAGATAGAAGCATACGGAAGAAGCAAGGTATCAAACTCCCCTGGAAGATAGCCCCCACTTCCCAGAACAGCGACTAGATGAAGCCTCCCCTTTATGCATGGTAGCCAAAAAAGGAAAGCAGCACAAAAATCCTCGGTCAAGACTGGGTTTGGATTTCTAAATAAGTAGACATAAAGAATCTATTGGTAAAACAGAGACAGCCTTGAATCTATCATCATTCCGTATGTTCTCTTTCTTCGTCTGCCCTATTTTTTAGTCTCCTACATTCATTGGAATGCGTGTGCCGCCACAGAGTGCCCATAAGCCGCATAATCTGATCTTCGGGGGCGTGGTCTTCGAAACCAAACCATTGAAAGACGAGATTATCCAATGAACAACGATGGCTGCGTAATTACACTTCCTCCGCCGCCGCCCGGCGAGACATGTGGAAGAAATTTGATGATGTGGTGTTAACCAGAGACTGACAGATGTTCAATTCCATTTCGAAAGCTACGTTTATTGTGTTTGAAACTCTTGCTTTTAGGGCTTTGATTTGGAATCCGAACTGCGGCCGATCGTGGGACCATGGCAACGATCTTCCGTTCCTCCCACTCGCTTTCATGGTGAGGAATCATTTTCAAGGTCTGCAAATTGGGATCAATCTGATCGATTCTCTAGAACATGCAATGGCGGGACCTTTGGGACTTGGAGTTGGAAGAGCGCGCCTCTAGAATGACGACAAATTTTTCCATATACCGACTTTTGAGTTTTGAAATAATTTATTTTAATTTAGGGACGAAAACTCTTGCTCTTGGGATTTATTTTTCATTAATGTTGTTTGTTTTCATAATATTTATTAAAATATTATATTTTTTCAATTAATTTAGAAAAGAACATTGTGCAATCTCCTCTCTCAGGTGGTTAAGACATTTATCTCTAACCAAACCGTCACGAGTTCAAATCTTCATCCCACATGTTCTATTAAAAAATACATTCAAAAATTAAATCTTTATTTTAGAAGGTGTATTTATGATCTATAAACTAGTAGTAGTAACTACTACCAGTAAATATTTAATTTAATTAAAATATTATTAATTTATTATTGTTGAATTTTGTATAATTAGTGTTTTACAATCTTATATGATTTATAATACATTATATTTTAATTTAATAAGAAATAAAATAAGTTTATAACATAAAAGAGTAAATTTGTCAACAAAATTTTATATATTTTTTAATGTATTTCTGTTTCTGCATTTTAAAATTCTAAATTTAAAAATTTAAAAACTCTAAAAACAATTAGATATTAAGATTATGTCGACCAAAAAGTTGACAAATACCTTAGATATTTATTCAAGAAAAATTTACAAATATGTTCTAAAAACAAGAAAGGGACAAATATGTTCCAAAAAGGGAAAACAACAAATATGTTACAGAATTTTAGATGTTTCCACAAAATTGTATAATTATAATCTTCTTATAATTAAAATTTTATGTTTAAGATTATCATATTTTTCAAAATATTCAATTCTATTTCATATTTTATTTAAAACTAATTATAAATTTACATAAAATATCTTTTCTAAAAAAAAATTATTCAAGTGGACATTCAAACTTTCAATATTGATGGAAGATATATATTTGGTTTAACCACTCAAACTACTCATGTTGACTAATTACTTACCTAATTTACCCTTATTTGATGTAAAAATTTTGTATATAGCTAAATTTAGCATATCTCATGTTCAAGCACCAATACCTTCTCTAAGTCTTATGCATCATAAATTTGAATATTCCCACATTTCAAATGTAACCTATCTTAATTTCTTTTTTCCTTTATTTTTTCTTTTCTTGCTGTTATTGATTTGATCGTCACTCTCGTTTTTTTTTTCTTCTTTTTTTTTTAATATCTGTGTGTGGGAATCAGCTTGTGCGTATCTCAACTAATCACGAGTCAACCGCATGACCCTACTACATTTGGTTGACAAGGTAACTCGTAGGATATTAAATCCTAAATAGGTCTTTAAAAAAGAAAATTCCTAGATAGGTGACCACCATGGTCACTCCCGTTACTAGAAAAAAGAAATGTACAATTATTGCTTGTCTTTTCAAAACCAAAGGTGGAAGTAAAAAAGAATGATGGCAGCACAATTGCCCTCACCTAAATTATTTTATATTCAAGATCAGATTAGAAGGGCAGCAGTGTGTTTGTCGATTTCATCCTAACGAAAGTATGGTTCAACTTATTAATGTTGGAAAAATATACATTGTATATATAAATTGTGTAATATTGACAAACAGATTACAACGTAACTTGCTACAAACAATACTGCCAAAGCACTGTAGAACAGCAATCTCGAACTACTCGGATCTGACATAACTCTTAGATACTTGCTTTCAACACAAATAAAAACAACAACTCAAAATAATATAGAATTATTGTGAGAGAATGAAGAACTCAAATGAGAAATAGTTGATTTTAGATGAGGAAAAACACAACTAATTGTCCATAACCCCTCACACAGAAGTAAACACATATGTAACATTTTTACATATTGAAATAACTTAAAAGCTTAACCTGTAAAGTTACACATGTAACTTTAACCAAATAAATAAACAAAACCACTATAGTAATAAATAGTTAAACTTTCACATTCTTTCTCACCTTGAAAACCAACCATAAATATCTTGTTAAAAAACGAACAGAATATGTCATATTCTCACGAGTTACGACAACATAGCATCAAATAGAAAAAGATGAATAAACTCAACATATTGTCTACACATAGAGTGAATCCAAGAAAAAACAGAGTAAAAGAGCTCCAAAAACCAAGTTCTCCAATGGCAGCCATTTGTTTCCTCTGTAGCAAGCTTCACCCTTGTCTGGTCCAATTCTGCTTCCCCCTCCAACTGCAATGTATTGAAGGAGAATTAAGCCATTAATGAGCATCATTTTCTTTTCCAAACTCCAAAAGTTAAGAAATTTCAAAAGCCAATTTACCAGTAGAATTAGTGGTAGAAGAAGGGCTAATTGGAGCAGCTGCTGAAGCAGCAGCAGAGGAGCTGTTGCTCTTGCCCAATTGATAGAAAACTTGAGCCTCTGGGGAATTTGGTGGCAAGTTTAAAAGAGCTGCATCAATCCCATTTTTTTACATATCCCATTAGAATTTAAAGAAAAAAAATAACAAAAACAAACAAACATACCAAATTAAATAAAAATTGCGGTGTAAGGTGTATTCCTCTGGTTCCAATCATGAAATAGATGAAATAAATTTAAAAAAAAAGGGTTCGTTCAGTAACGAAATCTTATTGGAACCGTCCATATTTAGTTTCTCCTTTATAATCATATCACATATCGAATTTGATGATAAGATAATTTACGTACATCTATCAATTCAAAGAGTACGAGAGACAACTCAAAATAGAATCTAACTTAAGATCTTGCAGAGTCTAGTACTGCATTTTGGTTTGAATACAAAAAAAATTATATGAAGTATTAAGATTTTGGAGCTTTCCTTTCTAATCTGTCCCTAAAATTTTAAAATCTCTAAGACTTCCTTTTATCATTTTTCAATAAAAAATTTATGGCTCTACCACCAGCATGTCATCAGTGTGTGGTTTAGTTTAATTTATGAACAAATTATTAAAGTTCATCTATTTAATTGATAAAAAGAGTTCTAATCAAACTCTAAGTAACTAAACACATTTAATTAGATTAAATGTAATTAAAAGAACATTAATTTGAAGTGGTACAAAGTAGTGCAAAGCGTGCACAAATAATGAATATTTATAATATTCGCTTTTTGTCCCAACAAAATAGTGGGCGGAAATTTCAATATTAGTTCAGTAAATAAAACATCTATTATCATCTTCAAAATTAATGATTCAATTATCCGTTTGTAACGGTCGAAGTCAAAAGAAAATAATTAAAAATTTTAAAAAATAGCTTAGTTTAAATGACCAATTTAATAGAGTTCGATTCGGTTCAATTTACCGGGACAATTGGAGACATTGGCCGAGGCATGGCAAGAATCAGGCAAGCCCAAGGCGAGCGTGACATTAATCTGAAGCCCCAAATCAGGGTCATTTCGGTCTTTAACTATAACGCACAAGCACTTCTTGTTGCTCTTCAGAACTTCCTTCAGCCCATTGCAACAGTCGGGTGTGGGAGATTTTGCGTCACCGCTCACGTACGGCAGACACGTGGCCATCCCCGCCAATTGCTGCGTGCACTCCTCCTTGTCTTTCTCTGCATCTGCTGTCACCAACCTCACCGCCGGTGACGTTAGCAGGAGGGTTAACAGAAGCAATTTGAAAGCAAAATGGAAGTCCATTTTGTTGTTGCCAATGGTGAAGTTGAAGAAGGCAAAGATGATGAGAAAAAAGTTGATGGGTTTCCACTTCCTTTTATGTTGCGGAAGAAGTGAGTGTGATAGAAGAGAATGATGGTGGAAAACTTTATTTATTATTATTTTTCTTAATATATATTTTTGTTAGGTCTAGAATAAGAAGATGTTCGTATCTTCATATTTTTATAATGATACAGTATTGTTTATTTTTTAAACACGATAAATTTGGCCGTAATTTCATTTAGAAAGTCTCATCCAAGTGCACGGTGACAATTTTCTACATCTTAATTAAAATTTCAAAACTAAAAAATTATGTCTAAAAATGTTATAACGTAAAATTTTGCTTCTCTTTTTGAAATTTTTTGGCTCCACGCCCTCAATCACACGCTGTTCTAACTTATATACAATAGTTTTTCTCCACTTTTAACTGCTGTCAATAAAACTTTTTCTTTTAAGAGGTAAATAGCATATTTCTATGTAATCATGTATCACAAAAAACTTCATTTGAGGTCGTATCGTGGGAGAGAATTTATCTACAAAACTGTATCTTCACCCTATAATTTACTCTGGTTTTTCTTCTTAAAAACATAATCTATCTTAATTTTAGAACTAGTTTAAAACCCAACCATTTTTTTCAAAAAATTACCTTTTATTAGCAAAAATAAAGCCCATGGTGGTGGTTGGATTTTGGACCACTAGAGCTTTTGGCCACATAAGTTATCATTACATTGACAATTATTTATGTGTGTTCATTCCATTCCACTAACATGAACACTAGCTTCCAAAAAGCTCTTCTTTTGATTCCAGAGAGAACTTTATTTTATATATATATATATATACACATACATATATATACATATATTAGGCTTATACCATATTTTAGTTCCTTTTTAATTTATATTCTTTCAAACATTATTTGAAAATCTCCCTTCTTTTTTATCAAATTTATATATGATTTTTAGTATAATTCTTAATTCTAACCTGTGTAACGAGTTTAAGTTTTAAAGCCATGTACATCAAGTTTATATAGCAATCAAAGTTTAAAAATTAATAGACGAGAAATATCATTTTGATCCCTTTTTCCTTTAAATATAACATTTGACGTATGGAGATGAGGGTTTCAGACGTTTAAAACAAACTATTTATATTTTAGCCGGTTGAACTACGTTTAAATTATAAATAAATGTAATATTTATGGTTTACTCTTGTGTGTGTGTGATGCTTGAGTACAATGACACATAGATTAATCAACAATTACATCAAAATGAGAAGAATAATAAAACTATCCAAATAAATATTTAAAAGGATATTCATAATTACTCTATTTTTCATATTCATTTATCAAAACTTCAAAATTAAATGTACTAATTGCTCTAAAATAGTTTTTTTTTCTAAATGTGAGAAAATAAAAGGTATAGTCGTATTAGCACATTTCATAGATATAAGCAACATAATTATTATAAAAATGAGATTTGAAAATTTCTTAATGTCAATTTTGTGATTCGTTGAACATAGGTATATCCGTATATGATTCGGGCAAAAAATGTCAAATATGGCGACCGAATTATTATGATCTAATAATTAAAAAAATAATAATAATAGAAGCTATTTTCTAAAGGACACGTGTCATAAATTGAGGAATGGGAGGAAAGTGGGATGTCTTTCACCAAACCCACTAGAACATCGAGAAACAAAATCGCTTGCCGTGACGAAAGATTCCCATGTACGTAATAATGACGTATGAGAAACAAAATGTTTGTCTTTTTATGACGATTTTCATTTAATTTCTTTTTAATTTTTACAAAGGTAAATATATTAGACAAAACGTAGAAGATGAGATCAAGGCACGATACCCCAACAAACGCAATACAAGAAGTAAGAAAATAAAAATTAACATAAATTTCAATTTTTATTAGCAAAATGTTAACATAAATTTTACCTATAACAAAAGTTCTTTAATATTATAAATTCATTTTTACATTTCAAAAAATATATTGAATGTAGTGTGATGTTAAAATTATGATTAAAAATAAAATTAAGCGATTAAAGTAGTCACTTTTTAAAAGTAGATAAACCAAAACGAACATTTAGAATGTATATGGATTAAATGAACAAAAATTAAGAATAGAATAATCAAAATGAATATTTTGAAAGTACATCGATTAAAACAAACCAAAAATTAAGTTGCGTTGACTAAATTGATTAATATTTTACTTTCTCTTTTTCTTTCTCATTTCATTAATTTCACAATTTTGATGATAGTGTGTATCTAGATGAAATAAGTAGATTACATGGTATTTAAACATTTTCGTTATAGATAGCAATCGCGTGAAAAAATAATATCAAAAGATCACATTTCAAATTGAATTTTGTAGCTCACTCATTTTTATGTTGTTGAATTTAACTAATTTCTTGTATTGCGTATCGTATATCAAATCATCACTCGTTAATTCATTTCTTAAAATAAAAAAATTGTATATGTACCTTATCATATTTAAGTATGTGACAGTAACAATGATTTATCACCATAAAAATCAAGATATTAGTGATTGTGATGGAATTTTATTTTTAAAATTTAAAAGACCACGTGAATATAACCATCAAAATTCGTAGGCTAAATTTATAATTTAATCATATTTTTATTTCAAGGTATGAAATTATTTTGGTTTAAATATTGTTTTGGTCTATTTATTTCGATTTTGGTTCATTTTGGTAATTGTATTTTCTATTTTTGTTTATGTAATCTCAAAATGTTTGTTTTAGTTCATTTACTTTTAAAAATAGTATCTATTTTGGTTCCTATTGAAAAATTTTAACACAAATTTTATATAAATTAGAAACCTTTTAATACAAATTTATAATTACATTTCAAAAGAATTTAGTAAGATAAAAATGAAAATAAAGATACCAAAATATTCACTTTTCATAAGTGTTGGAGGAGAGATTTTAGCGAATTAATAAATGTCACGTCACAATTTAAAAATTATATTTATGATCAATCATGAAGTTACACATGTCCTTAATTCATTTTAAATCCGCAAATCAAATTATGTCACGTGTTTCTCCTATGGTCGTCTAATGACATCAGCTAATTGGATGAAGTCATATAAGACCCACCAAAACTCTATAAATAGAGAGGTCACATTTCATTTGAGACATTCAGAGAGATTGAGAACCATCAGAACATTCGTAACCAACTGAAGCATCAGAACATTCATAACCAACTGAAGAACTTCAACAAGCTTTCACCCTTCAATGAGCCAAAGACTTCATCAAGCAACGAGCCAAAGACTTCATCAAACTGCGAACTTCATTAAGTTGCGAATTTCGCCAAACAAGTCGAAGATTTCATCAAACTACAAGTTGAAGAACTTCATGAAGCTATAAGCCTAAGAACTTCATCAACAAGTCTTACATCTTCAACAAGTTCAAAGTCAAAGACTTCAAAGATTATTCAATAAGTTATAAGCCGAATACCTCAAAGATCTTTCGACAAGTAAGAAGTTGAAAGCATTAACCTCATTGATTCAAGAACAAGCTTACATGCTCTTGAATTAAAGTTTACATCCGAGAGAAAGCATCAGATGATCATATATTATTACAAACATAAATATAAATTCAAATTCATTAAATTCGAGTTTCTTTTTCTGAAATTTCTCATCAAACAATGAATATAAGTATTAAAATGAACGTCGAAGTATATAAACTAAAACGAACAAAAGTTGAAAGTAGAAACACCAAAACGAATAGTTTGGAAGAGGGACCAAAATGAAAAAGTCGAAGTACAAAAACAAAATAATGTTATAACTTATTGTTTTCAAATTTAATCTTTAAAACGACAATGAGTATTAGCTTAAAAACAATATTATAAATTAACAGCTTGTTTGATTTAATATAGAAAAAGTAATTTGTAGAGTAGCTAAAATATTTATCATATTTTAATATAGCAATCCTTTTGAGTTTTAAAAATATGGCCATACTTACCGTGCCAGATTTTCATATATATATATATATTAATGGTGTACCAAATAAGTTATATGTTAGATATCCATAAATGAATTAAATTTACTTAATCCATCCGCTTAAGTTTTTGAGTTGAGTGGTAGTTTATCCATCCTTAACATTATATCAATGATAATTTATAAAAAAAAAAATTATACCTATATTAAATCAAGTATATAGTTATTATATTAGGTATATCATTGATATATCAACGTTATTATTGCATATACTATGATACCAGATTTAACTAGATTTACCGTAGGAATACCAATTATAACTAATTTACCTTTTGATACCACATGAGTTATCTTATAAGTGTATGTGGCTACGGTCTCTAAAAAGACAATGCATATAAAATAATTTTATAAAATGGGTAATTTTGATAATGAGATAAGAAGCTATTTGTCAGAATTATTATCCTAAGCCATCTTCCTATTTTGGGCCCAACTATAGTCGGCAAGGCCCATAATCTCACTAGGACACCAACAGCAAAGCCCAATGTGAGCCCAATTTCACATTTCCGCATCGTGCGGCTCATTGAACTATACTTTCTCGAAGGTGAAATTTCATTCCAGTTTTCAGAATTTCAATAAATATTAATATTTGCGAATAATTTATTCATTTTTATTCTAAATATTATTTTAGTCTCTTTCCACTTAACTTATTTTGTTACACTTTTATTTATAGTAATCATCGTACACCTTTGTAATAACTAATTTACTGTCTTTTTTGCAAAATAACTATGCACGAATCTTTTAATACAAATTTGTAACTTACCTTTCAAAAAAATTTAGTGGATAAAGTGTCAGGATGAACCTAAAATAACAAAAAAAAAAATTGAAAGTAATAAAAATAAACTAAATTCAAAATATAAGAATTTTTTATTGCGTTATCTGTCAAAATTTTTGAATAACAGTAATATTAATTAAACTGAAGACGAATGATTAATAAATCAATTATTTGCAGAATTATCGATTGATTCTGAATTGAGCAAAAATAAAAATAAATTTGTTTTATTTTTTGAAATAAATTATTCAGATTCCTTGCAGTATCACTTTCTGTTACCATTGTTGTTATCTGATATCACTGTATAAGAATTTTCTTTTTTAATATCATTTCTGTTGTGAACCATTTTTTTTTTTGGTGGGGTCTTTT